AAAAAAAAAAAGATGAACAATGTTACTGAACCAGAAATGGCCTGCAGCGGCAGCCAAAAATGGCCCAGCTATTGAAGCCGAGCCTGAATATGCCCTGCCCGCCGATTTTTGCCGAGCCTGCAGTGAATGGGAAAAAATACGGGACATTTGTTGCTTCAAGCAGGTGCCGCCCCTTATGCTGGACCTGCTTCCAGCAGATGGAACGTAAACAGGTCGTCGTTTTCTTGTTTCCACTCAGGTGGCACCCGAAGCCTCGCCAGGGGTGCAGCCGAAAGGTCTTCTTCTTCAAAAAAAAAAAAAAAAAAAAGGGTGAAAAGGGAAACCAAGCTAGGCACTCACATGATGCGTTTTACATCTAGATACATTTGGGAGAGTGTGAAAGTTACACTGCCAGCAGTGCCAGGCACTCAATGCTCCCCGTGTCCAACGGGGAGTCAGATCATGAAGTGCCAACGATCTGCTTCAGAAAAAGCAAAAAAAAAAAAAAAAAGGTGAAAAGGGAAACCAAGCTATGCACTCACGTGTCGCGTTTTACATCCAGATACATTTGGGAGAGTGTGAATGTTACACTACAAGGCATTCAATGCTCCCCGTGTCCAACGGGGAGTCAGATCACGAAGTGCCAACGATCTTCTTCAGAAAAAGCAAAAAAAAAAAAAAGGTGAAAAGGGAAACCAAGCTATGCACTCATGTGTCGCGTTTTACGTCCAGATACATTTGGGAGAGTGTGGACGTTACACTGCCTGGCATTCAATGCTCCCCGTGTCCAACGGGGAGTCTGACCACGAGGTGCCAACGATCTGTTTCCTTTTTTTTTTTTCTCCTTTTTGTTTCTGTTTTTCCCCTCGTTGATTTCAGTGTCCGTGCGTTTCCACATAGCACACCACCAGGACATCGTGCAGTCCTTTTGGCCCGTTTCCATGGGGCCACCAGCTCCCTCCCCCATTGCCATGCCAAGCCTTTGCCGAAGCGCGGGAAACGCGTAGCGTTAACGCTAAGGGCCCGCGGCCGATGTATGGGCCAAGTACTGGTGGTTTAACTAGTTGAGCTCCCTGTACTGATGGGTCGAAGGGGGCAACAAGTAG